CAGTGCAGTAAGTCTCACCTATATATGCCTATATATACTTCATTAATCTGTGACACCCTGTAGTTTTTTTGACACGCTTAAATTTTCAGTTTTGAGATGGTCCATCAATAGTTGAAATGAATAATGTAAACATACATTATTTGTTTTCTGCTCTCGTGTAGTTTCGGTATTATTCGTTAGAATAGCTTTAGCTTATTCTTATTGATATGTTCAACCATTTCAAATTTCATTGTGTTTCGAATTGAATTTGAAAGTTAAATGTTCTCATTTGACTTTGAAATTCTTTTCTTAGTCAAAACTGCTAAAATTATGTGATTGTATTCAAACATTGCTAGGTATGAATAAAATATTATGGAAAACTGTTCACGTGAACTAAAAGTGTAGGTTTTTCATATGAAAAATCATCTTATGTAATTGAAGTTGCATCAACAGACCTTACTCATAGAGTCCCTTTGAGTTCAGTAAATTTCCTTTTTTTATTATCATTTTTATCAGTAGTTCGATATCGATATCAAATTTTCATGACTAATACTAGTATTTGTAATCATTCAAGTACCTCTCGAGGAATATAGTACTTTTTTCATAAGCATAAATCGATGAATCATCACAGCCCTTGAAGAGATTTGACTGTTCGATAATCCCCCACCTAGGTAGGCAGAGATAGGTTGGTAGATATACCGAATTACTTCTGCTCCAGTTCATACCATAATAAATCTTGCACAAAATGAAAATATGAATGAGTCCCATCGACAAAAGAGAAAAATAATCCCTGTCGCCCCTACTCATCGTGACATAAGCGTGAATTCATCCCGACATACAGGGTTAGTCATACGAGCCAGGTCTTGATTGAGTCACCGAAAAGTAAGGGATCGGATCCAACCATTCATCTGTTGCATTCGGTGGTTGTTGTTGTTGTTGATATTGTTTGTTGAGGTTTCTGAGAGCAACTGTTTTGTTTTGCTGGTCCGGTGATAGTGCGAATTGACCTGTTTGTATCGAGATTTTTTCAGAAAAATGGAAGTTGATACACTCGCATTAATTTGAGTTAGTATTTAGCGAGGTCTTTGGTGAATGATATACTCGATATGTTGCAGAAAGATAACCTGAATTTACCTCTTGGTGAGTTGGTTTTCGGTAGTTGGTTTGTATAAAACATAAAAAGAAGACTTTTTATGATGTACACATATTTTTCATCCGGGTTTATCAAGTATTTTGTGATCATCTTCAAGGTTTTTTTTTTTTTTAATTTTTATCTGCATAAAATATGTTTATTCCTATACAGTCAAGGATAAAAACATGTTCAGTCATTCTTGGAACAGACCAATACTTGCATGAAAGATTTGTTTAAAGTTTATGATCAACAAGATTACAAAAACAGAACATCGGAAGGTCCCTAGATCGAATCCCCGGCGGAGCATATAATCTTTATTTCTAAAACGAGTTATAATTGCTAATTTTCGTAGCCTCGGCCGGGGAAATGATTCCGCACGATTCACTGTTGCGTTCCAATTAACAGTGCTGCTCCTAAGATGGCGTATGGAGTCAGTAACAAGGCCTACACAGAACAAACATGGCTGAAGGACCTCTCGTGAGGTCGATATGAGTCGTGAGGTTTTACAAATATTACTCAAATAGGTATATGATAAACATAATATTTATGATATTGGGAGAATGAGAAAAATGAAGAAACTAGATTATGATAAAACCTCGTTTTAGATTAAAAACTGCTGCCGACATATTTTTTTCACTGGAGTCTGATATATTTTAGGATCAGATTGTTAATACTATTTAATAGACCCATTTGATGAATAAGTCTTCCCCTTCTAGAACAGACGTATTAGTCACCACTATATCATCCCTATTTGGTACCTAACGTCAGTCTCCCGGCTTCGTCAGAAAAACGTTTTTTTAACTGTTTGCCCTCATCTCGAGGGGTGCTATATGACTCACCGAGCTATTAAATCCATTGCCATTCAATTTATCCCTCACAATTAGGGTTGTGAGTATGATGAATCACAGACCACTGTAGACGTTATTCAAATTTGATGCTCAGATAATTCCACTGTTGTTTCATTAAGGGGTAGAAATCAATTGACATCCCGCAGAGTACGTTTTTCCATTAGTCATCCCCGTTATACTTTTTATAGCTTCTCTCAAGAACAACAACCGCCTTATCTCCCCAGATGCTGACTCATTTGCTGAAATGTACGACTGAGAAAATGAGTACATGAACAAATTGAATCGGAAGAATGTATGACATTTTGCCAGTATCATTGACTTTTATGATATAATATACAATAATTGAATATCTATATAATTTCGAGGGTCGTCCATGAAATGTCTACGAATTTACATTTCATGTATTCAAATGGTATTCAAATAAATTATCGTTAACACGTAAAGGAACATTGGAATTCAAAATTGAATTGATTTACATCAGTAACTATGTACTGAGTCATCTTTAACACATTTCCTATTACCATCTGTATATAACTGATGAATTATTGATAACGCCTTACTTAATTCAATTTCGAACATTTAGTAGGTATATCTAAATCCCCAGAGGCATTCGTATTTTTTTATCAGATACCGAATACTTACATTCTTAATTCGGACATATAACTAATACTCTAATAGTGGATTTATGACATTGTAAGAAATTTAAATACGAAAATTGTATTTTAAGGGAAAATTCAAACATATTGTGAGATGTAAAATGGTGAATTTGGCTCATGCTCAAGTCGGCTCAATTACTTCGGGAGATGCCTAAATTCTACTCGAAATTCAACTGGGAAGTGAAAAAGTAATCCTATTTTTACCGTCAAACAATAATTTATGGGCCAATACGTTGATCAATTCCAGTTGAATCTGATAGGTTTGTGATTTTTTTTTTGATGATTTCATGACATTGAAATATATCTATGGTTGAATCATCGTTCAATAGTACCTACTAATCGTGTGAACTTAAAAAATGGAAGATTTCCCAATTCCGTGAAAACAATCAGATCATGATTCACATAAATATTCATGATTCATAATGTTTTACCGCAGGCCAATGGGGTTGTACACACTATACAGGGTGATCCACGGTGGATGACCTATTAGAAGTATCTGGAGAACGAAAAGACAGAACATTCTGAAAATTGGGATGCTTTGATAATTGAACATTCTCTATCCGTCAAAAATATTTTCATCGATACAGTGTTGCCACTTCTATCAGAAACAACTAGCAACTTCGTTATTTTAAATGGAGCACCCTGTATTTTATTGCATTTTTAGATTCTTCCTGAAGAGCTGATTTCATCAATTCAACACACTTGGGGTCTAGCAGAAATGATTAAAGAGATATAGGGTGTTCAAAATCGAGATTTTCCAATTTTAGGATTTTTTTGTGTCGAAACTTCATTATCGATCAAAACGGCTTACATGTCCCTGTCCTAACTTTTGATTCACTATCTACTGGAATTTAATTGGAATAAAGAATACAGGGTGCCTCATGGTTCAGAATTCTAATCACCCTGTATCTGTTCCAATTGTTGAGTTGAGGCTTCGCACTAGAGTTGACTCTTTGGCCTTTTGTTTTTTGGAGGAACATTTTACGGATATTATTTTAATATTTGTTTCTGCTTGAAAGTTCATTAAAATAGTTACAAAATTAAACGAACTTGGGTGAGAACTATAAAAACTAGAATTGAAATGAGAATGAAATGATTCACACGCGTTTGTGTTTAAAAGTGTTTAAAAGTGTTTTTAACCGCCAGCTTAGTTGCAAAGCAACCCTCGAAAGTCAGAGACTTGTGTGAGTTAAGAAGACGGTCCTGTACATACTATCTGTAGTACAAGCCCACATAGTTGGGGGAAAATTACTTCCTTCATCGATATAAGTTTCCACGATATAATCGCAAAATTCCGATTTTGAATGAATTTCTCCAGAAAAAAAGTTTGCTACTTCATGAGGGTCTAAAAATGGAAAAGGTTGATTCAGGCTGAGTTAGGTTAGATTGTTTAGAAGAAGTAGTATTCCTTGTTCCCTCGAGCAATTCATCGAAGAATATACTTTTTAGGAAGGATTATTTAGTCCGAGTTGGGTTAGATTGTTTTGAAAAAGTATAGCCTTTTTTGCTCACTCAAGTAATATTCAAAAAAATATTTCCTAGGAAGGAGGTTCATTTAGGCCGAGCAAGGTTAGAATGTTCAGAAAAAGTAGTCTCCTTTCTTATGCAGAAAGGATATTTCCGAGGATATTTCCCTTCCTCATATTACGTATCCGGAATTCAGGAAGCCACAACGCACATTGTGTTTGGCCACAGTGCATCCTTCGGGTATGGTCGAACTGCAGGGTAGGCTTAACTCGACCTTTTTCAAAAAATTATTAATACAGGTACTCGTGGTCCAACTGACCGGTCCCCATAAAAATATCACTAGGACCCCGGAATTTCCGGTATCGGTATTTCGGGATTGCAAACCCTACTTCGCACTCCTTCGTGGTCACTTTGGAGACCTGCAGAACATCTCTTTCCAAAGACTCTGGAAAACATTGCCAAGGGAGGTGTTCCCCGAGGCATATAACCTCCAGAAATTTAAGAAGAACACCAATTCCTACCTTATTTCCCTTGGTTCTCACGATGTTCTCTGAACATTACAGGATATCCCTTTTCGTGGGAACCAGAACATGAAAAAAAAATTAATCGCCGGCAATCGAGGCGTAAATCTCCAGGAAGAATGTGTACACCAGACTTCCAATTACCAAAGACTTCAAAAGACTCCCCAAGACTTTCAAAGACTCCCAGAGACTTCTAAAGACTTCCAAAAACATCCAAAGACATTCAAAGACTTCCAAAGACATCCAAAGACTTTCAAAGACATCCAAAAACATCCAAAGACTTCCAAAGAATTCCAAAGAATTCCAAAGACTTCCAACAGAGTGTACACCAGACTTCCAAGGAGATTTACCCCTCGCCGGCAATGTCATAAAATTTAACCGTGTTCTTCTCTTCCAGGAGGCCACCGAGAGTTCCACCGCAAGCACAAAGAGCTCTGCGAGGACACCCTGGTCTCGGGCGTCTCGACGCGCGGCAGCGTCGGACTGCCCTCGTCTGCCTCCTGTCCAGCCCTCGCCGACGTCGAATCCTACCCCGCCTCGAAGGTACTGCCCTTTCTGTACCTGGGCAACAGCAAGGACGCCGCCGACCTCGAGTGCCTGCAGGGCCTGGGTACCACCTGCGTACTGAACGTGACGTCACAGTTGCCGGGGTACCACCAGGAGTGCGGCATCATCTACAAGCAAATACCCGCCACCGATTCGGGCCACCAGAACCTGAAGCAGTATTTCGAGGAGGCGTTCGAGTTCATCGGTGAGTCGGTTTTGTTTTCTGTAGTAACAGGGTGAGCTTCTTTAAATGGAAACCCCCCCTTAACCTAAATCTTCAATAGTTGTCTTATGGTAATTTTGGGTTTTGTTATTGAATATATATATATATATCTTTATTGCAATTTTGACACTTTACTATGTAGAGTTATTTATGTCCGAAGGCATACTGATGAAATCTTTGGAAAAATTCTAGTCATCATGTTCAAACCACCCAAATTCTCCATTGCGGAGTCAGACTCCGTAGCGACAGACTATGTCCTTTTTTAAGGCGCGACTACTGGAAGGTTAACTCTTTTTTTTCAGAGATGTGAAAAAATTTTGAAGCAAAAAGTTGTTTGAAACGACCCAAACTTTTATTTCGTGAAGTTGCTTCGTATACAGGGTCATTTGTTTTTCCGGAAAGGACATTAACTTTGATTTTTTCAATGGAACACCTTATATATTTTCTGACATGTCGATAGAACTTTTTTTTCTGATTTCGAAAATAGGTATATATAAGTCGCAAACTCGGTCGCAAATATGGATGAAAAATAATTGAGTTATTGATTATCAAAGTTTACCAAAATACCGAATCTTCCATTCTAACTGTCTATTTATTTTTGGATGTATGATAAATTGATATTCATCATACAGGACTTGGAAAGAAATTCTGAATGGCTGAAAGAATAACTGGACTTCAGGTTACTGATGAGGATTCGATATCCGAAATGAGTTTATTCGAGTAAAGTCATAAAACCTGTTTGTGAGAGATATAATTCCCATATCACTGATACAAATGATTTTTTTGGATGTTCCAAGCTCATCAAGATCAGAGTTCATTCAAATATACTTCTCCTATACATTTCAATTTTCATTTCATTCATATGAAGGAGAATGCAAATTCTCTACTTCAGATTCAAATTCAAATTCTTATCGTGTGTGTTCAATAGATGTAATTCAATGTTCTTCGTGGCATATAGCCAGGAAAGTAGTTGTTTTCTGTTGAATAAACCGTGAAAAAATTGATATTTTCATCACATGGAGAATGCGAATTCTCAATGTATTTCCTCATACATATATCCGTTTTTTGTGTTCATAAATATATCTGAGAATATTCCTTTTCAATGTCTATTCATACTTTTTTGTATTGAGATTGAACGATTTCAATTTCATAATAAACAATACTATGACATTTCCATGGAGCTTGAACAACATATAAACGTTATTTCAAAGCCCACTTTATTCAATTACATTAGATTATATGAAGTGAAGGTTCATAATGCGGTATTTTGATGAATATGTATCATCAATAACTCAACTACTTTTCATCCATATATGCAATTCATAGTTATTTTTGGAATCAGAAAGAGGCTCTATCGATATGTCGTGAATTATATAGGGTATTTCATTGGAAAAATCAAAGTTGATGTCCTTTCTGGAAAAACGAATGACCCTATATATGAAACAATTTCACGAAATGAAAGTTTGGGTCATTTGACACAACTTTTTCATTAAACATTTTTTCATATCTCGAAACGAAAGAGTTAAGGGGGGATTCCATTTTAAGAGGTGCCCCCTGTACAGTACGAACTTATTGTTATCGTAATAATATTCTGGCGCAAGCAGATTCTCATTGAATGTAAAACACCAAAGTCGGTCGACCACAAAATAGTAGATTGTTTTATCAGGATCAAAAGTGACACTTTGACAAGCGAATTTTGCATTTGCGAGACGGAGCGTCTAGACGAAATTTTCTACTCGATTTTTTTCGGGAGGAAATTCGTATATTCGTATTTATTTTTATGTAGCGCCTAGAGGGACGGTCAACTTTTGGCATTTTTCATGAAAAAACGTTATTCTTACACCTTTTTCATGTAAAAATGGTAAATTTCCTCAACAATGCTGGAGGTGATCGTTTTCGAGATATCGATACATATTATATAGTTCCGAGAGAAACATTACAAAAACTAAGGCTATATTCCGAATTCAACTGGTCAGTACTGTCAGTAGATCCACTGACTGCTGAAAATCTGCGTTCCCAAAATATAAAATCAAAAATATAGTGCTGTAATTCGGAACACGTTCTCATGGTTTTCATCAGTAAGTAATCAGCAGCAGTTGATCAGCTGGTGAAATTTGTTGGTTGTCAGGTTGTCACTTATGCAGTTTCTCGTTTATCTGGCCAATTATTCAAATAACAGGCATTTTCTGATATCATTGATAAGACAAGACTTAATGCTTAAAAAACAACTGAAATAAATGTGACATTCCTTTCCCCCTCTAAAATAAGGACAGTTCACTGAAGCCACACTATACCTTTTGATAGCAATTCCAGCAGAATGTTGAGTCGAAATATTTGGAATGAATATTATATCTGCTCAAGTATCTGTCACTTTCATTGCATTTTTTTGATTTCGGAATGAAAAATATCAGCAGATTCAGAACTGTCAGTTGAATTCGGAATAAAGCCTTTGTAAGTGGTAGATCTCATCAAAATAAACAAATGTTTCGTATTAAATGTGATGAAAATAACTGTAGTTGCAAAAAACATGACAAACCACAATCATGTCTTTGAAAATTTCAATAATCTGAATTACTAACGACGAAGTGGATTTTTCGAAACTCAATTATTATTAAATGAAAGTTGTCTCGATTACTTCCTAATTTCAAATTTTCGAGCTATATTGTCTCCTAGCATGATTTTCCGGAAACTTGGTGATTTCATGCCTACTGGCGAGAAGTGTATATCACTGGAGATGACATAACTCGGACATAGAGTGGCTCTCTCACTGCTGCAAATTTATGCATAATTATGGAAGACACAGGGTGGTACAGGGGTGATTCCATCAGAAGAGCGAACATTATTGCAAAAATCTATCACTAGACCTAGACATGTTTCTCGAAGTCCATTTTCGATCATTAAATATACGAGTGAAGATTCAGAGTTTGTAAACACCAGAAAGTAATAATCATCCTTGATCGAAAAATAAATGCGTGCATTTAGAGATGAATCACTCAATAAATATGATTTAGACGATGTTACAACAAACAACATTTGCAAATATTTATTTGTAGTAAATTAGCAATATAGCATACAGATAACGTACGGGGATATATTGAACAAATCGTAAGATTTTTTTCAAATAAAGTTTTCAAAAGTCAAACAAAACCTTGATGAATATCTTATTTTGGTGAAGAACAGACAGTTTTCGAGTATTTTTCTCAGTGTATTTATATTTCCATACCTATTAAGCAATCCCTTGTTATTAAATTAATTAGGTGTGCACACGTGTGTATGAAGTGATATTTGAATAATATAATTTTATCATCAATCTGCGTATATTCCCTAAACCAAAGTAAATATTATCTTTATTTATAAATGGCGCTACGTAAGTGTGATTCATTTCAATTTCTACGATCTGGTGGAAAGCACACGTTCAATTCTGTATAATTGGCTGTCGATATAGGTATTATGTTTACTTTGTTATAAGATGCAACGAAACAACTAGCTCAGGTAGGCTTACGCAAAACTATACCTGCAAAATTTACATGTTTGTATAATTTTTTTTGGCACAAACTGTGATTTTGTAGGTATAACTAGGGTTGTCATCCTTCCGGATTTCCCCGGACATGTCCCAATCATCTAGATCGCTAGTGCCATAAGAAAAAAGGTAAGTCACTCACGAGATCGAACTGGAGAACAGATACAGTGTGTCTCATTTCAAACGCCCCCCCCCCCCCTCTATATCTCAGCTATCAGTCGTGCGATCTTTACCAAATTTGTATCGGTATGAATAATCATCAATATGACCAGTTCTTCAAAGACAAACATCATTTCAGACAGTGCCGTGCATTTTTATTGAAATGAAGAGGGGTCAGTTTTTTATTAAATCATATTAGGCATTTTTTCACAGGAAAACTGACGTCAAAATATTGTTCTTCATGGTTTCAAACTCATATATGTGGATTTTCATAAGATGCCTATGAAGGGTTTCAGGAAAACAGGCACATCTAAACAGCATTTTTGCGAACGTTATAATTATGTACTCGAAAACGGTGAGTTCAACATAAAAAAGTACAACTCTTTTTTCTTCCAAATCATGAATTTCCACATACCGGAGCCATTGAACCAAAATTCGTAGTTGATTTGAAGTCACTATTTATACGAGACTGAAAATGAAAAAAATTAAGCCAATCCTGTTAATTCGGAATAAGGTGATTTTTTGCATATGGAGGTTCGACAGCATGACGAACAATAATATGAGGTTAGATTTCCTGTAAAAAAATGCCTTATATGATTTTATGGAAAATCGACCCCTTTTTAGTTCAATAAAAACGCATGGCACTGTCCAAAATAATGTGCATCTCTGTGAAACTAATAATATTGATGGTTATTCATACCACACCAAATTTGGTTGGAATCGCATCACTAATAACTGAGATAATGAGATATAGACGGGGAAGGCGTTTGAAGTGAGACACGCTGAATATCTTACCCACTCTTACTCATGTTTTCGGCAACCTAGAAACATGACTCTGTTTGAGGGTTCCTGGGCTTGCGCATCGAGCAGAAGCGTTTTCAAGCGAGAAATTTACCCTAGATTTTCGGGTTGCTGAGATATGACATATAGCAGTTTAGGTAGTAGTTATGCCAGTGGAAAGTGGAATTCTGCTCAAAAATAGAATATTTAAAGATTTGGTATCATTTACTTATGTCACTTAGTTTTGTTTCAAACTGTTGAGAATTTATTTGTTGCTCAAAATAAATAAAAAATATTCTTGAGTGTTTACTCGGTTGGTGCCACAAATAAATGTGTAATTACACTTACAGATATTGTTCTATAGTGATATTTTCTTTCTACCTATTTATATATGTACAGGATGTCCCATAAGTAATGGATAAAAAGAAGTGGGGTGGTAGGGGGAGGGGGGTTATTTGTAATCAAACTAACGTTATATGTATATCAAATTGTTGATGGTTCAAAAGTTATTCAATTTTTCTGA